CTCAACCAGGTCTAAATGCAGCAAATTTAATTCACTTCTCAAAGATTATATTATTTTGCAATTATTTTCCTTTCTATGTCAAACCACAAATTAAACTTTGTCGACGCGAAAGGATTTGCTTTCATGAGAACCCCATTATATGATGCGATATAAAAAATTCACTTATGTCATCCAAATACCCTATAGTTAACTTACCAAGGACCAGTTTTCATTATAAAATATTAAAACTTTAACCTTTTTGGCATATAAAAGCTTACTTTTCATTAGAGCCCTTAAATGGATTGAAATCAAAATAATAGATCTAATTGGTCAAAATTTTCAATAAAGTTAATGCTTATGTCAAATTATTATTATGAACGAACTTCCATCAACAAGTATTGAAAATTAGGCTTTTTTCACATATAAAAATGCACTTTTTCTGAGATGCTACGATTACTAAGCGATTTCTGCCGCGAAGTCCTGAAAATTGCAATATTTTTTCATATAATAGCCAACTAAAAATGGTGTTATATAGCGAGTGGTCGAAAAGGTAGTGTACTCCGAACGATTTTTAATTGCTGTCGCCCTTGAGGCAAAACAAATCAGTATGCCAATTTTTATTGAAATATTTCGATCAACACAAAGATACACAACAGACATCAAGGCAGACGATCAATCAAATCAAAGGTGGATCTATTTTAAGTCCTTTTGGGTGTTACAATTCAGCAAATTATTGGTATAATGAAAGGGTAGTCTATCTCGAATCCCTCCAGATGTTACGTACGTCCGCACAAACTTAATATATTCGGTACCACAAGCGGTGTAGGGTAATATAATATGAGCATTTTCGATGCATCTACCAAAAATGTGTTGCTAAACTGGCCAGAGAGATAGGAAATTTTAGATCGATCTTTGCAAAATTCTTTCAGCGAGTATATGAGTTAAAGCAAACTTTGTTTGAAGAGTACTTTGCGAAATTTTATTGCCGAGATTTTGATCATCAAACTAACACATCACTCAATAACGCCATAGGACAGCATATGCATTTAGGACGACTAGTCGCGAATCGATATGATTTTTAGATAGTATCAATTTTCGCAGTGCGCCAAAGTGTGTGCATCGCGTTTCGATCGTTGGTCGACAAGTTATAATTGCTTAAGTGACGCTAAAATAATGGAAATATCTAATTATGAACGAATCCTATGAACTTATTAAGTTATATATTGCTCTTTACTCTAATTGATCTTTCGAAACTGATGCCGATCAAATTGAAATTTTAATTGAGTTCAACCGACTCTTTACACGTCAATGAAAAAATCGAATATAATCCTGGGGATAGTTATGAAAAATCGAAGCAAATGTGTTATGAATATACGTTTGAATATCATTATTGAACGTTTGCTACATATAGTAGGCAGCAGAGCAGAGTGCATGAAAAATATTATTATGAAAACACATATACGTATTCTCTTATGACATACTTTCGGCAACAATATACTTTCGCCGCCATAAAACTTGGCAAAAAATTCTATAGAGATCGCAAGAACAACATGTGATAGATGAATGTATGTATGCATCAAAAATGCTCTTTGGCTTAGCTCTATTGATATTGAACATAGCAGAATTTCCTTTGACTTGTCTTGAAACTCTTCATTACAGCCACTGTCTGTTTTCACAAACAACTACGCATCCTTGCACTTCTATTGAGATTTGCGAAGCGAATAAAAGTTCGATTGAATAAATTTTGTTTCCCAGCCATCTCAAAGTCCTCCCATGCTTTTTCAATCAGGTTTTTCCAAACGGCTTAATAATGTTTGCTCAGACTGTGGCGATAAGCAACGCGGTTAAATATCGTATTTTTGGCAACATTTGCGAATAGATTCTGCTCATAAATACCACAGTTCTCTTCATGCAAAAATTCATCGGTCACCGTCACTTCAAATCAAATCGGAAAGTTCATGTAATTTTATAAAGCTGAATACATGGACTTATCCGCTTACCTTCCTTCCCTTTCCCATTGCATTACAGAAAAACATCAGCTATCCAAATAAACAAGTATTGGTCCTTTGGAATATTAAGGAGCAAAATGCTCGATACTTTTGTGACTGGCGTCGGGTGTGTAAGAAAGCAACATTTTTTTGTAACTTAAACAGGAAAAGAAAGCAATTTTATATCGATATCTGATTAAAGACAATAATATGTTGATTTTAATTTTGTTTTGTTTGTTCTCTCTTTTATTGTATTCTACATCATCTGTGGTGCAAGTTGTCCGTCTATCCATCTTCCATATAAAGCCTTAAAGACTTTATCTTCTATTTTGAAAAATCTTTACATAAATAGAACTTTAGGATGGTATAGGCTACTTAATGATTGAATGACGTGGTCAATTATGGTGAGTTTAGTGAATTTTTATTTAAAAGGAGTTGTAATTTGATCACGCGCATCTAAAAAAATTTGTACTAATTTCAATGCCAAACTTTCTACTACCTTGAGACAGTGGGCGAACGAAATCGTTTCAGAATTAAAAGCCATTAAAACTTTAATGGATTACGAATACAAAATAATGAGTATACACCCCTTTTTTTTTAAACATATAGCGAACTTAGATATCATTATGAATATATTTCGTATTCTCATGCCTACTCTAAAGTTGTGATCTCTTTAGCAGTAATAAAAATAATCAGCTACTATCCGCCAAGGGTTAGTTGGTTGTCATTGACTCACGGTCTCTCTCCCTCTCGCTAGCCATATGACTAGTCGTTCATCATCTTGCTATTACGCTTGTTATTACAATTACATCGTATCGGCTATTAATTGCCATAAAATAAAATTCAAATATATCTTTCATTCGATGAACATTGATATCATTTTTTCTAGAACTTGGAAAAAAGGGAAAATATTAAGTTAAAAAAGAAAAATGGAAAAGAAAACTTAATAAAATCCAGTCTTCTATATATTATATACTTCGGTTGATGTTCATAGATTACAAAGTTCACAGACCACATAAAACGCCCACAATCCATATAAAAATGCCTTAAAGATTAAAAGAAAATCCAAAAGATACTACACGTACACGGTTTACATAAAAATGTTGTGATTGCCTTATACAATAACTCAATAATATTGGCAGCGCATTTCGTAGAGTAAACTTAACTTGAATAGGTTGTAAGCAATTTCAATCAACATCATCACTAAAATAAAATCGCTTTTCATAATAATTTCAATGCACACGAGACACGAGATACGAGAGAGATTGCAAAAGGCATTCATATAGACTCAGGTATCTAGGTAATCAATCTAGGTAGCGTATAGGGGGTATAGACACACATCACGGGAAAAGGCAAGAATAATAATAACAACAACAACAAGAACGTACAACTTCAATTAAACTTTAAAACTTATCTATGAAAACTTTTCTATATTAATCAAAAAAAAAAAAATTTGTTTTTTTTTACAATTTTTTTAACAAATTATTTTCCTTATATACACATATACATACATATATATATATAAATATCTATATATACACGTATACATACGTTTACATATATATAATATAAACTTAAACTTTGTATATATATATGAAGAATTTTATATCGAGAGGATTTCTTAAATATGGGTAGATAGAATACGACTGGCAGTGAAAAAGAGAGGTTAGAGAACAATGAAACGCAACACTGTTTAACAACAATGTTTATAATGTTTATGTTAATGCAAGAGATGATAATGGCGTTGATGTGCTATGTTGTTGTTGTTGTTGTTATTGTTGTTATAGCACTTATTACCACTGCACATAGTAAGCTTTTGTAGATTATTATATGGGAAAATGTAATTTAATGATAAAGTGAGCGCGAGCAATGAGCATTAATTCAACATTCCAAACTAAACGTTGTATTCATTTCATTCCATCATCATCTTCATCATTCTTCGATTTCTTAGCTACAATAAAACAGCAAAACGCCAAGTAATACAAAACCAGATTATTGGTATGCGAACTAACACATTCGTACCGCATATGCACGCATACCTGTGCGCTTTTTGTAACAAATCTGTTTATAAACAGTAAGCAATACGAGCAAGAAGCGGTTCTTCGCTGCTAACCAAACGCACATCTGTTCTTATTATACTTACTATATGCTCATACACATAAAATATCTTTAGGGTTGCTATTGGCTAGAGGCTGACAGTATGCAGAGTACGAACTGTAGGCCTTAAAACTAATAATATGTATGCATACTGAATTCATTGTTCTACATAAAGTTTCATTGCTTAGTCAGGATAGTAATTATGTTAAATGCATCTCAAAATAAAAAAGGCTAATGTACATGCCCGCGTTTAACGCTTATAAGAAAAGCTACAATCTCACGTCAATGGGTAACGTTTATCAAGATGTTTGTCCAACATTTGTAGCGATAATTGTAATCGACTTCACCTGCAATTATAGATTAAGTCCCACGTTTCCTATTAATAAGTCAGCCCGCCGTCTTAACTACCGATTTTCCCATTTTCGCTCGCCCAACGACCGTCGATATTTCATATTAGAGACTTACAGACCTTAGGATTGATAAAGAAAAGACAATGTGAGTAGATAGCTCCACATCTAAAACTTTGCACGATCTATCAGGCTTAATAATTTTCACACTATATTCTTATATAACGAAACACGTAAGTAAACATCACCACAGGATTGATTGTTCAATGTTAAGGTTACATTCAAACTTTGCACTGGTTAAACGATGATTAAGATTGATTAAGTCTCGTTGCTTACTGATGAATATATAATTTTTACTTTCAATATTCAAAGCATAAGCGTAAAGATAATATAAAGTTAAGAATTTACAACTGCGAACGCGATCTTTCAAAACTTCGTCATCTAACGGTACTTAAGCGTGTATTTGATCACAATGCGACATTTAGAAAAAGGGAAATTCTTTAGCTTAACCGCGAACGTAACGAATAAATTCAATTAAAATTGCACTACCTTTTCGCACATTTTTCATATATTCTTTGTTTCCTTTCAGAACGAACCTGAATGCAATCCTGAATTGCCAGCAGCTAATCGTGCCTTATTTCTTGAAAAAGTCCGTCAATCAAATGCTGCTTGCCAGAATGGAGATTTCGCCACAGCTGTTGTTCTCTACACCGATGCTCTGCAATTGGACCCCGGCAATTATATATTATATAGCAATCGTTCGGCTGCCCGTCTTAAACAGGGCCAATTTGCTTTGGCTTTGCAAGACGCTACTAAAGCTCGAGAATTATGCCCACAATGGCCAAAGGCTTATTTTCGTCAAGGTGTTGCATTACAGTGTCTTGGTCGTTATGGAGAGGCACTGGCTTCGTTTGCCGCTGGGCTGGGACAAGATGTCCAAAATAAACAATTATTGGCAGGTTTACTTGAAGCTTCTATAAAAAGCCCCTTGCGTCATGCTCTAGAGCCGACATTTCAACAGTTGCGTGCCATGAATTTGGATCAATCGCCGTTTGTAGTGATATCGGTTGTAGGTCAAGAATTACTTCAAGCCGGTCAATATCATTCAGCCGTGACGGTATTGGAAGCTGCGCTACGCATAGGTTCATGCTCTCTAAAATTACGCGGTTCAGTCTTCAGTGCTCTCAGTTCAGCTCATTGGGCCTTAAATCAATTGGATAAAGCTATTAGTTATATGCAACAAGATTTAGCGGTGGCTAAAAGTCTGGGTGATACAGCAGGTGAATGTCGGGCTCATGGCAATTTAGGTTCCGCCTATTTTAGTCAAGGTTCTTATAAAGAAGCTCTCACAGCGCACCGTTATCAACTAGTATTGGCTATGAAATGCAAGGATACTCAAGCGGCAGCCGCAGCTTTAACTTCTTTAGGGCATGTTTATACAGCGATCGGAGATTATCCCAATGCATTAGCCAGTCATAAACAATGCGTACAATTGGTTAAGCAGATGGGAGATCGTTTACAAGAAGCTCGAGAAATCGGCAATGTTGGAGCCGTGTATTTAGCCATGGGCGAATTCGATTCGGCTGTTGATTGTCATACGCAGCACTTACGGTTAGCTCGTAAATTAGGCAATCAAGTGGAAGAAGCTCGTGCTTATTCGAATTTAGGCTCCAGCCATCATTACCGTCGAAATTTTTCGCAAGCTATTACCTTCCATGAACAAGTACTACGGATAGCTCAACAACTCGGCGACCGTAACATTGAAGCTCGTGCTTACGCAGGTTTAGGTCATGCAGCTAGATGTGCCGGCGATTTTGTTCAAGCCAAAAAATGGCATGAGAAGCAATTAGAAATGGCTTTAGCCGCCCGTGATAAGGTAGGCGAAGGACGTGCTTGCTCAAATTTGGGCATAGTTTATCAGCTGCTGGGAGAGCACGATGCCGCTTTAAAACTACATCAAGCCCATTTGACAATAGCTCGCCAATTACACGATCGTGCTGGCATGGGTCGCGCCTACGGTAATATTGGCAATGCCTATTCCTCGGCTGGGTTATATGAAGCAGCCATTAAATATCACAAACAGGAATTAACCATTAGCAAAGAGGTCAACGATCGCAGCGCAGAAGCATCCACTCACGGCAACCTCGCTGTAGCCTATCAAGCTCTCGGTGCTCATGATATGGCTCTTATTCATTACCGAGCTCACCTGAATATAGCACGTGAACTTAAAGATACGCAAGGTGAAGCCTGCGCTTTACTAAATCTTGGTAATTGCTTGAGTTCACGTCAGGAGTTTGCCCAAGCTGTACCCTACTACGAGCAATATTTAATGTTATCACAAGAATTAGGCGATGTAATAGCTGAAGGAAAAGCTTGCCATTTTTTAGGATACGCTCACTATTGTATTGGCAATTATCGTGAAGCTGTTCGTTACTACGATCAGGATTTAGCTTTGGCTAAGGATTTGCAAGATAAAATGAATATGGGCAGAGCTTACTGTAATTTAGGTTTGGCGCACTTAGCTTTAGGGAACACGCAAGCGGCCTTAGAATGCCAAAAATATTTTTTGGCTGTAGCTCATATGACCAATCATTTGCCGGGGAAATTTCGTGCCCTTGGCAACATTGGAGATATATTGATCCGCACTGGAGAAATAGAAGAAGCCGCAAAAATGTATCAACGCCAATTGACGTTGGCTCGACAAGCTCGTGAAAGATCAATGGAAGCAGCAGCGTGTGGAGCTTTAGGTTTAGCTCATCGTTTAGTGAAAAAATATGATAAAGCATTGGGTTACCATACACAAGAGTTGACATTACGCCAAGAAATGTCTGATTTGCCAGGCGAATGTAAAGCTCATGGCCACCTGGGAGCCGTGCATATGGCTCTGTGCAGTTACACTCACGCCGTTAAATGTTACCAAGAGCAATTAGAGCGAGCTCAAGAGTTACAAGATTCTGCTATTGAAGCTCAAGCTTACGGTAATCTAGGAATAGCCAAGTTAAATATGGGCCATTATGAAGAAGCAATTGGTTATTTGGAGCAACAATTAGGTACCCTGGAAAGAGTCAATCTGCCCACCACTCAACATGATAGAGCTCGAGCTTTGGGTCACCTAGGCGATTGTTACGACGCTTTGGGAGACTATGAAGAGGGAATTAAATGCCATGAACGTCATTTACAACTAGCAACTACATTACAAAGTTTTCGTGACCAGGAGAGAGCCTATCGTGGTTTAGGCCATAGTCATCGTGCCTTAGGTAATTTACAGGAATCTTTGGTTTGCCTAGAAAAACGTCTAGTAGTGGCACATGAACTAGGTAATCCCGAAGTTAAGGCCGTCGCTTACGGTGATTTAGGCAATATTCATTGCGCTCTTGGAAATCATGAACAAGCGGTCAACTGTTTGGAACATCAACAGGAGATCGCTCGGGAGCTGGGCGATCGTACGTTAGTATCTGATGCTACCAGTGCTTTAGGTAACGTCTACCGGCGCATGGGTGACTACGATGGTGCCCTAAAACTACATAAAATGGATTTGGAGATGGGTGAACACTTAAGTGCCAATTTTATGCAAGCTCGGGCTTGCGGCAATTTAGGTTCAGTGTATGAAGCTATTCGCAGTTACGTAGATGCGGTCAAATTTTATGAAAAGCAGTTGTCGCTAACTACCGATCGTTTAAGCAAAACTTATGCCTGCGGATCATTGGGTAACTATGCCTCTTAAAAATATGTTCTTATGTATATTGGAGTTCGTAATTCAAACTGTTTATTAATTTCCAGGACGTGTATTCTATCAAATGGGTCAGTATACGCAAGCCATCAATTATTTAAAACAAGGTTTAGCTATAGCCCAATCTATCAATAAATCGGAAGAAGAAGCTAAAATAAGACATCAGTTAGGTAAATTATTTTATTCAAAACGTTGCCACAAAAAGAGTTTATTACATTCTTTTACGATCTAGGTCTTGCTTTGAAAGCTTCCGGGGACAATGACGAAGCCAGATCTCAAATGGAAAATGCTGCTCAACTCTTAGAATCAGTACGCTATGATCAACGTAGTCCTGAAGCTCGAAGTAGCTTATTTGATCTACAAACGTCTTGCTATCATATATTACAGCAAATTTTTGTGCTTATGCAACGTAATGAAGACGCGTTAGTGGCAGCTGAACGTTGTAAAGCGCGCACTAGCCCCGATACTAACAGTATGACTCGAAAGACCACTGTTACTTGCAGCGAAAGCATTTATGATATTGTTAATCGCACCAAAACGAATGTTTTGTATTTTAGCCTAGCTGGGGATGAATTGTATGCTTGGTTCTTGCAACCGCTTAAGGGTATTGTGCGTTTCCATTCTATAAAAATAAGCGAGGAAACATTGAAGATGTCTAGTGAAAAATTAGCAGAGCATGCTAAGAATGTGGAAGATAAAGAAAGCCTATTGGAGCGTTATATTAATATGGTGCGCGATAACTTGGGTGTTAATTCAGAAAGTATATTGCAAGAAGGTGATGGCAGTGGCTGGCGTTCTAGTTCTGAAAATCTACTGGATGATTTCTCGAATGAGAGATCTGGATTTTTACGAATGGTTAATCGAAATCACCTAATGAATTCGTCTAATTACTCGCTAAGCTCTCTCTTCAGCTTGGGTTCAGTCGGAGGTTCGGTAGCAAGCTTGCAAGGCTCTACTAGATCAATAGGTAGTTTGCAGGGCTCCTCACGGTCCCGTCGGGCTCCCATGTTGCCTGCTTGGCAGGGTCCTTCTTGTTTGCATACTCTGTTTAACTTACTTTTATCGCCGTTTGATGATCTTTTACCAACAGGCTGCGCAGTGTCTCGTCAAGGCCGCAAAGAACTCATTTTGGTTTTAGACAACGAATTATATTTAGTACCATTTGCTATATTACGCAGTTCCAAGGAGGAGGGTGAATATTTGTCAGAACGTTGTTCGATTATTACAGTACCTTCTTTACAATCGTTGCGTCTGAAAAGTAAAATAATAAGAAGCCGAGAACTAGCGGAAAATCTTAATACTGCGTTGGTGGTTGGTGGACCACGTATTCCTGCTACCTTAGCTGAAACTTGGGGCTGGTCGGAGTCGCCAGCGTCCCTTCAGGAAGCAGCAATGGTAGCTGATATGCTACAAGCTAAAACCTTGGCTGGGTGCAATGCTACCAAAGAGGCAGTGATTTCAGAACTTTCCTCTGCTGAATGTGTGCATTTTGCAGCCAATCTTAGCTGGAAGTTGGGAGCGGTTGTATTAAGTCCAGGTGATGTGGTCGACTCCCAAACACAAAAGAGATTTTATCAAGCTGGAGCAAATAGCAAAGGCCAATGTGAACAAGATGATGAAACGCCAGAGCTTTCTGGTGGTAACATGGAACTCCCTCAATTATCAGATTTTATACTGTCAGCAGCCGATGTTTTAAATATGAAACTAAACGCTAAGCTGGTAGTTTTGAGTTCCTATCACTCCATTGAACCCATAACAGGTTCAGGAGTAGCTAACTTGGCCGGTAGTTGGTTATGCGCAGGAGCTGGTGCTGTTCTAATTTCGTTGTGGCCTGTACCGGAAACAGCAGCAAAAATTTTATTAAGAGCCTTTTATTCAGCTTTACTTCAGGGAGCCAGAGCTGCCAGGTAACGTTTGTTTTTTATAAATAATATACGACATTGCAATGCATTTCTTCCTCCATCCTAATCCATAGAGCTTTAGCGGAGGCTATGCAAACAGTGCAACATACTAAACACTTTGCTCACCCTGCTAACTGGGCTGGATTCCTATTGATCGGAGGCAATGTTCGCTTATCCAATAAAGTGGCTCTAATGGGCCACGCTCTCTGCGAGCTAATGCGTACACCAGATAAATGTCGTGATGCTTTACGCGTGTGTCTACATTTAGTAGAAAAGTCTTTACAGCGCATTCACCGCGGCCAGAAAAATGCCATGTATACCACACAGAAAAGTATTGAAAACAAAGCTGGCCCTGTGGCTGGTTGGAAAGATCTTCTTATGGCAGTGGGATTTCGTTTCGAGCCAGCAGCCAACGGTATACCCTCAAGCGTTTTCTTTCCCCAAGCAGATCCTGAAGACCGTTTATCGCAATGTTCTGCTAGTTTGCAGGCATTGCTTGCTCTAACGCCTTTAACTTTACAAGCGTTAGCAAAATTAGTTAATAGTTCGGATATGGCTGATGACATTATAGCAGTCATACGCAATGTTCTAACCCAGTTTCCGTCCAAAGGTAGCCCTGACCTAGAGGCTTCTATAGAAATACCTCTAAGTGTAAGATTATGGCGCGTGGCCGGTTGTCATGAACTTTTGGCGTCCGTAGGCTTTGATCTTACTGAAGTCGGACAAGACCAAGTAACTTTGAGAACTGGCAAACAAGCCAATCGCAGAACGTGTCAGTTTGTTTTACAAGCCTTATTGGCCTTATTTGGTAAGTGAAAATAAAAGCATCTTTTATAATTGTCCAAGTCTTAACCTTACTTCTTATTTTTAGATACTCAAGAGGCTCCGAAAAGCTTGGGCTTAGATTCTAGCAGTAGTTGCGAATCTCTCGTTGAGGACAATACAGCTGATCTTGCTTTGACTACTTCCAATACACCTGCCAACCATCCTTTGAATTCCCTATCACAAACAAATATCGGTCTTAACTCGCCAGGGAATTCAAATAAACCTTTAAGCTTAGTGTCTTCACTGCCACCATTACCCATCAATCGCTCGAGAGTGATAAGCTCTGGTAGTTCAGCATTCATATCGTATGTTCGTCGAAGAGGTGAACCTGATGGCGGTCGCACTGAAAGCGAATGTCCACCAACGAGCAATACTAGCAGTTCAACCTCGGTAGCCATGTATCCACAACTGGATTCAAGCCTTAATAATACCACCGACAGCGAATTGTCCGATGGTTACATATCGCAAAATCATCTTAATAAATCGGTCATTCCCCGGCTAGGTTATTCCAGCCTAAGAGCACCAGTTAGAGTATCACGTCCAGGAGGTGGCGGTGAAAGTGATGCTGCCTTCACACCCAGTCCACCTGTTACTACTCAAAACCCAGTGGATCAAAATGTTTCACTCGCTTTGGCCCATCAGACACGTATAAGGAATTTGTATTCAGGCAGTGGAATCGGTTACTTAGGTGATTCGGCTATACCCGAAATGGGTGCAATCCCTCCTTCTGCAAATGCGTCGCGACGGCCAGATAGTTCAAGTTCAGCTAGCTCTACAACCGATTGGGAAGGTTCCGGTCATGCTACTGTCCTTCGACGTGGAGGCCATTTGTTGCAAAATGCCAACCATATGCCACCCTTACCACCACCACGTCAAAATATGCCTTTAGTCGATAGTTTAAGGCCTCTAGCTCCTATGGCACCGGTTTATAATAATTTAGGACAAATGACTGTTTCTAATCAAAATCCAATTACAACAACAACAAACAATAATAATACTGATTCCAACAGCAGCGAATCAGAATTTGAACGTAGTTTAAAATTGGGGGTGCAAATGCCAATGTCACATTTCCGTTTGAAGCCAAAAATCAAATTGGGCAATGCTCAATCTTCGTTGGCGGCTCGAGTTAGCAAAGAACATGCACTTTTTATGGATCGTTTAAGTGTACGCACCGAAGTTAATGGCGTTCAAGCGAACGCGGCAACTGTTATAGCTGCTACTGCAAATAACACAGCGGGTTGTCGTAAACCCATTAATTTGCCTGAAGAAGACGATAACGCTTTAGTATTTAATGCTTCCAATTTGTACTTCTCACAAGATGATAATGAATTATTGAATGAAGCTAAAAAGGAAATGAAACCAAATGCGACGGGCCTTAATACCACACATATAGCCACTGACAATCAGATTGCCGTGGCCAAAGAGGCTGTCAAAAACAATCAGAAAACGATACAGGATTCAATAATGCGGCATATGAATCGGGAAATGACCCCTACTATCTCAGAAGTCTACCACGAACGTAATTTAGGTTTGGGTTTGGCCCCACCGCTATCAAAACTGTTACTAAGCAAAAATTATGAAGAAAACGAGAGCACAAATAAAATCAATTCTGCTAATACGAATGCTTTGAAGAATTTAGTTGATGCTGTTAACGAAATGGAATTAAGTGGCAACTCATCTACTTCTTCAGTAAGTACAGCCAACACGAAGACCTTAAATACGCATAATTTGACAGCAAACGTCACCAGCTCAATTGCCAATATCAATCAGAAGGAAATTTGTAGCAATTGCGGTGAACCAGCCGACGTCATATGTCGCTGTAAAGCGGCAACAGTGCAAAAGAAGACCTCGCTAAAGCCCTGGCTAAGTAATGTACCCTCAAGTATTGTAAAGGCAAGTGATTTAACTACAGCCGATATTCTTGAACGTCAGAGCAAAAAACGTACAGGCAATATGAACGAAACGTCAAGTTTGCCTTCAAATTCAACTATGAACACGTTAAGCAATTTAAAACGCATGCCCAGTCCGTTTAGTGAACTCTTACGGCGTGACGAAGGCGATGGTCGCTCTGTAGCCGATTCACAATGTAGTAGTAATTATAAGAACATAACTGTAGTTAAGAACAGCGGGGACAATAATCAGCAAACAACGAGCCTAACAAATCGGAAAGTTTAAAGAAATTCAATTCTGCTTCTTTAATTAATTATTTTAATTTTGTAAGGCTTTATTTTATATATTTTCACGTTACGCATAAGAGTGTAGATTATTTTTTCAAGATTTTTTTTTTCTTTTTTACCTTTTAAGGACAAATATCATATTGAATAAGTTTGTTTTCAAAAGACAGAACTGATTATTTATGTATGTATATATATATATGTATTAATTTAAAAAGAAACGGATTTAAAAATCAAGTTTAAATAAATATTGCAAAAAATAAATGAAATAATAAGAAATAATTTAAAATCTCTACGGCATATATTCAGCGTACATAGTAATCGGATCTTTTTTTGTTTCTTGTTTTTGTCATTTTAAAGAGAGACGCATTTTCTGCACGCAAGCTAATAGCAGTCGAAGTAATATTTTTAAAGTCGCTGATTGTGCTAATCACACTGCAAGGGCCCATGTATGCTAAAAATATTCGCATATAAAAAATCTTCGACAAGCATCGAGAAACAATAACAGATAAATCTCGTTATACTCACCCTTCAGTATCTAGGAATAATAAATCGATGAAATAACGGGGCAGATGCACAAAAATCCCGGATCAAAATGTGAACGTACATATCTATTAAGAATTAAGCCCTAATTAATGATTCTATACAAGAGACGGCATATTGAAGGATACAGGCAAGGTAATCGAACAAGCCTTTGTCAACTTTATCATAATTCACAAGGATTTAAAAAGAAAACCCTATAGATGTCCAAATGCGGTGTTGATATGATTGCATTTTCAAGTGTTAAGCGGCGTTATCTTGAAGACAGCATAATCAATTTTGACAAATTACTTTGCGCAGATGCTGTTACATTATATACAGGACATGTGTCCCGCCTAACGCGATTAATTCGTTGTACAACTCTTTTTTATTTTTTCACTTACACTACAATATCATAAATGGAGAATAACAGAAATCAAGAAAATGTATACGGTGTTGTATCGAAATCACACTACAATTACAAGTATCGCATCTGACGGCCTATACCTGCATAGAGAATATCTAACATATGTTGTGAGACTATTAAGTCAAATCCATGTCGTCAATTAATTCTTTTCAAAGAGTACTGGCAGATTTATTATTAGTCAACAACGATGTTTTCGGTTATGCAAATCTAAATTGTGCGTTAAGCAATTGTAAATAAATACGTAAATGCATTAACTTACCTTTTGATCTGCCTTTCACGTTCACGATTTCACGTTCACAGCAGCAAAACAATCGGCAAGAAATTTGGTTCATTTAAAATATATTGAACGAAGTAAAAAAAGGCCGCCCATTATTCACCCTACACTACTTCACCTAGTACCGTTATTCACCCGTTCTTAAATAACAACAACAAAAAGTACACATTATTTCCATGCAAAGGCATACTCTTCATGAAAGTTCCCACATTAGAGGATTTCCAAAACGTCACATAGCTTGATCCAAATTGATCCAAAACTTAATTTAGTTGCTAAGAATTTTACTAATTTTAAATGTCCGATATAAAAAACTAAAAGTTAAACTTTCTCTCCGCAAAAGGCCTTCCATTTTCATTGTAACTCGTACGTATGCTGGGGCCTAAAAAACGAGGGCCTACACGATCGAAATTACCAAGCGCTAATTTTTTGCTAAATTCCTACTTTGGACGAATTTTCGTTATTAAATATCGAAAATATTAAACCATTCTTTGAAGGATTTGGGCAATCTTATATGGAGTGAGGTGCATGTATCTGAAATTTGGTCTTCTTAATTATTCCATACATTACTTGTGGTACACGCTATATTAACTTAGTGCGGTCGAATGTAACACACAGAAGAGCTTAAAATGGATACACCCTTTATTATACCGATCGATTCAGAATCACAATCTGAGTTGATGTAAGCTTGCCCGTCTGTCCTTCCGTCTGATGTCTGTCCATTAAAATTTATCGTTAAGCTACAGAAAATTTTGAATAAAATTTTTTAAAACTACGCATATCGTGAATTTATTAATCAATGTCAAGTTTGTTATTCTATGATATTTATTTCCAATTCTTATAATATTTTTTTTACTTATTACTATTTTTTCTTTCTTTTATGTTTTTATTTATTTATTTTTTTTTTTTTTGATTTGTTATATTTATTTTTTATTTATTTTTTTTCTTGATAAAATCCTTCTCTCGCTATTCACGATCTAGTTCAGAGACTTGCTGTTCCATATTTCTTATCATACATCGCAATATACATTTATTTATATGTAAAAACATATATATTACAATTTTATTGCACAATTTAATTGATTAGACAAAGTCACGTGCGTGCATTTCCCCCGCTCTATAAAAATAATAAAAAATTCAATTTTTTTTATTACCGAAATGATTACTTATGCCTAAACTAAAACACAATTTATTTTCTTATTATCATTAAATAGAAATATTCCATAATAATAAAAGCACAAATCATTATCACAATAAAATACTTTGGCACTTTATTACTCAAACTTATATATGTTTCTTCAATTGTTTTGTTACAAAGCAAAATAATAATAATAATAATAATAATAATAACAAACAAGTAAATACATTATAGTCGACCAAAGCCCACGATTCAATACTCTACACTACTTCGCTTAAAACAATGACTTTTCAAAATAAGTACTGAAAAGTAGCCAAAAATGTGCAAAAAAACTGCAAACAATTTTCAATGGCGGTCGCCCTTGAATCAAAATACATCGGTGTGCCAAATTTCATCACAATATATATCAAAATTTCTGTTCTCCTCTGTTCGTTGAACCGTAAAATATAAGATGGACCGACGGACAAATAAGCTGAGATCGATTCAGAAGCTCATGTAAATCGATCGGGATAATGAAAGATGCATCTATCTCAAATTCGGACGAACTTACTATATGCTTGTACCGCAAGTGATGTAAAGTATAAAAGAAACAATCTACTTATATGCCTCAGCATATTTTTGTAAATGCTTACATTCCATATATATCTTCCCAGGCTATAGCGTCAGAATCAGTAAGACTTTCAAAGTCCAAGTCGGGAAGTCTTTTTTTAATTGGGAAATATTACGTATGTCTATTTTGCTTCCAGACCCTGTTGTAGAAGAAACAAAGTCTACTTACCTTTATATCTCATTATATATTTATAAGTGCTTATATTCTATCGAGGCTACAGTATAGTAGAATTCATAAGACTTCCAAAATCCAAGTCGAATGTGAATTTTTCTCCCGAAGAGAATCAGGGCGGCCTTCACCTGATTGAGACGTATTAGGTGTGCATAATTTTTTGATTCCGACATTTCATCGGGACTTTATTGTAAAAGCCCGGTTATAAACTTACTATTCAAAATATTGTCCATCGCCTAATGTTACTTCTGCTATCTTCTAAAAATAATTGGAATTCCATGCGGAAAGAACAACACCTCTCTTAAGGCTATGCATACAATAATCCAAATTTGGCTGTCGTTTCAAGAATGGAAACACCGCTCGAATAAACAACAAGTCATCTTTTGGAACCCTTGTTAATCGGACTGTGTAATATCTGAGGAAACGATTAGGATTTTTCGACTTAGAACTGTAAATATTTCCTGAGCGAGTTTTCCTATACGTGGCATAATTTCTTTGTACTAAACACGCTTTAGTACGAAGATCGATCTGGCACCCAGCTGAATGGAAAAGCTATAGATATTCAGCTTTATCGCCTACTCTGCATCATTGCTACTTGAATTTTGGATATTATAATGCTGTTCCAATGCTGTTCGCCACTCGCAAGGATTTAGCAGCCACTATAGTATACTTTGAGTAAATCAAGGAACGTAAAGTTTCGCGGAAAAGGCGTTGTTCTCTTCTTTTATTTCTTTGGCACGAAACAACACCACTTCGAAGCTCCAAGAGACTACGCTTTGGTATGATACTTTATGTAGTCTCATATACCTTAAGGATATTACTTTCAAATGAGGAATTCACAGCTTAATTCAGCACACCCTGCGAAATTGTATACACTCTCGCTTAGAAAACACCGGAAGTAACGTTATGCAATCAATATTTTCATTCATTCATTCATATTTTTCTCATAGAAATATTTTTTATTTTTACAAGCACTAACGAAGGACGAGGACATGCTACACTTGATAATGCGTTCGCAACACCAAAAAATATATTAATGTATATGCGATACCTAAGTATATACTAAAACTAATTGAGATCAAACTCTTTATTCAATTTATTCATTTCGATTATTTGCAAAACAATCCTTTTTTTTTTAATTCTTGAAAGCTTATTATATACAGCTGAAACAAAAAGACATTTACCTGTTTCATTTCTATCCTTTGTCCCAAGGATGAACGCTATTGCACATGGTTCGGAACGGTCCACTTTTTCGACCACTCCCCATATTGCAATTTTCAAAATTTTTCAATAAAACTCACTGTATGATCGTATTTCGGCATTGGTCCCTTGGTTCGTTGGGGCAATTTTTTGAAGTCCCTGTCATATAACCGTTCCTACGAAAACTGGATTTCATATGATAAAAAGTTATAATTCTCAATATTTCATGGTGAAAATTAGTTCATAATAGTAAATTGACAAAAAAAATCACCAATCCAAAAATCATTTGGACCGCGTAAGTTTATTTTTGGAATAATTCCGTATATAAGGATTCTTAGGAAACGTAAATCCTTAGATGCCAAAAAGGCCTAATTGTTAATGTTTTATAATGAAAATTTATTCATGACTCTACAATTGACATAAAAAAATTACTTGGAGCAAATTCGCATTAGCATAGGCCGATTTCTTTCATCCCGCCCTATACAATATTGCTCATGAACAATAAGCCCTTCAGAAAAAGGTTTAGTTTCTAATATCTTATGATAAAAATTACTCCGCAATAGCAATTTAACAAAAAAAAAATAGCGATAAGATCTATTTTTTACACCGTTACATATATGAGAGCTATAATGAAAAACATCCCTTATATGGTTACAAAGTCAAACTTCTAGATTTTTATGATGGAAACTGAAAAATAATAAAATTTTTAGGAAATAAATTACATTTGCAGAATTTAGATCGAATCATTTTATGCCTCGGGCATTCTTCAGTATGTGAATTTTTATGAAAAGTTTGCCGTTGCATAAGAATAATGTGTAAGGTGTTTGAGTTATTACAATCAAAGCTAGCGAATAATGATACTAAGCAGAGTGGTCGTCTATACCCGACTGTAATATCTTTCATATTCAGTGAACCTAAAATTTAGGGGCATAGAAACTTTCCATATTCATTGATTTATCGTCGGTCACTGTAACTATTCAAGCAATCCAGAAATTAATCAATCTCAATACAAATCACTTCCGGTCAAGGCAATTTAGTGTATATGTGCGCGTTTAAATTTATATCCATTGTAAATGTTTCAAAGGGGCGACACAATTGAATCGTTTATGGGAAAATTCGATTCAATACAGGAACACATTATAATGTCTTCGTGTTGGTAAGTGACAAGCAACTAATGCATGTAATGAAGGGAGAACATTACATTTGTATGCGAGAGATGTGTTAGCGACCGATATTCATTAATCATACGTCACTCACGGAATCGAGGAATTAATTTGCGGAATATTTCAAAAGGAGCGGTGGAGTACTAAACTCCAAACGTTTTAGACAGTTAGTGTCAAGTAAACGACGCTGTAGGGAACAAAACGATCGACAGAGAGCTATTAACGAAATAAACAAAAAATTAGAAATCGCATAAGCAATACCTTATACTCTCACGATTGCACAAAATCAGTTTGGTTCTGAAAAAATCAAAAAAATCGATATTTATTTCTTATCAGAATTTCGTGCAATTACTATGTTATCTGGCCCATTGACACACCCCCCAATAGAAAGAAAAAAAAAAACACATTTTTCCTACATTTGATTGAGCTCAGTTTGTCACACATTATCAACACATCATTTGTATTTTACAATAGTTAACCCCTTCAGGGACATTTATTTTGTAAAATATAAAAAATTTTGTAAAATATAAAAAAAATTCACTTGGAATTTTTTTGGAATTCATTTTGTCAAAGCGTTTGGAAGGCCCAGAATGGAGATAGAATGGAGGTAGAGACCCCAGAAAGTACATATGCACCCTTGATCACCATCAAGTTCTAAACTGATTTAAGCACATCCGACTGCCTGTACGCCTATGTAATGCCTGTGAACATTCTCATGACCGCAAAAAGAGAAAAATATCTTCTGCAAGTATTGTGAGGAAACATTGGAAGTAGAAACTTACGTGCAGGTTGAGCTAAATCGGTTAAAGAATATGCCCACCACATAATACAAACTTTGCTTGCAAAAATAAAAAATTGGTTTACGCTTCGTTACTTACAAACGTCAAGAGATAAGAAACGATTCAAATTTTTATAAAATTATATTCCATTTATAGTCGCACAGGACCCGTACAAAAATAGAAAAAAATCGTACACGCCTACTCAATATGATAAAATATTAAAATTGCATTCTCTTGCCAAAACTTGTGCAGCACCCAGAAAAAACCTTCAGAGACCCTATAAAGTCTACATACGAAATTAACATGAACGATTTTAGATTTAGTGTTTGCCGGCCCGTCTATCTGTCTGCGTAACATCTGCAATATATGTGATCATGATCGCAAAATTGACGATATTGGTTTCAAGCACACGATACAAATTTCCATTTTTACCCTACTAACATAGAAATATCCAGCCACGCCCACTCAACAGCCAAATGATTTTATTATTATATGCCATTATTGACGAAACCATATGATTTTTAGATAGTATCAACCTTCGAACGAAAAGTTTCATAATTCCATTACATTGCGACCATTAGTTTACAAATTGTAGTTGTTTTTGTAAAAAAATGGAAAAGATCTGAATTTCGTGTATGGATGAAACGTTGCTTTTTAATGAAAAAAAAAAAAAAAAAAAAATTCCCTCCAAGTAAAGTGATGAGCTCTCCTCTATCGAGAGAAATGGTTTGCTGATTCTTTAAATCCCGGTCGTACAAACACTGATGATGTGAAGCCCTCTGGTCAACCGAAATCGGCCGTTGTGCCAAAAAAAATAAAAAACTCGTTGCCGAAAACCGAAGTTGCATGGGTTAGTTGATAACTTAAATAGATCGAAAGGCGTTGTTGTTATTATTATTTTGCATGAGAAGGCTTTCAGCCGAGTGGACAGTAACTGGTCAAAGCCGTCCAAAGAGAAAAAGCAACAAAAACAAATGTGACTTGAGATGATTTCTGAAGTTCTGAAGCAATTTGGGATGCTCATCATATAATATTCAATGACTATTTTAAAAAATGACAAACGATAAATAATGAATATTGATAAAATGATTAAATTGCAAAAAATTCTCGCCTCAAAGTCTATGAATGTACACTTTTCTTTCGGTTTATTCATGCATTGTAACGTATATCCGCCTTTTGTGCATTTTACCTTGTTATTCAACTTCTTTTGAAATAAAGATCGTCCCATTGAATTGTGATTTATATATATATATATATATTTATTTATTTACAATTCTTAGTGAATCTATTCAAAAATTATTTGTAGGAATTTAAATTAGCGACGCTTTACCGCTCAAGTCTGTTCACTCAAACCTCTCGGGTAACTTTTCATTCGTTTTTCGACTCTCCTTGCCTTTCGCAAATACTCTACGATTCTACGGCCTTTTAGCAGCACGTTACTATTACCTGCATTCATTGCGACATTTTCAATCCGTTAATCGGTTTTTCTGCTATATTTTCTGCCAATTGTTGTTAATTTATTCGTCAGTCAACAGCTGCATGACGCAGCTGACGCGCCATAAATATGTTTTTGGTTTTTCCCTTTCCTTTGGATTTTTTTTTCTTTAAAACTAAAGTAGGTCATCAAAAAAAATGGCATTTTCATAACAGGATACGATTTATTCTTGTTTAGGTAAATAATTTTTTCCTATTTTTCTTTAGGTTTTCTATCTTGCAAACAATATTATTACCATTCCACCTCAAGGTATTAATGCACTTGTAAAAATAATATTTTCGTTTTCTTCGCTGTAGTTCGTATGAGATCCGAGACTATTTATCTGCTAAAATGTGAGTAAGTAATGTAAAGGAATTCTGTAATAACAAGTATTCACTTCTCTTATTTGTCATTTTTTTTCCATAATCTACACCACTTGTGGCTCAAATGTATGTTAAGGTATTGCGGATCTCCAGAAGAATTTGCGATAGGCTCACCATTTATTGCACCGAACGTTTTAGGATCACTTTCTGAATCGATCTAGGCTTATCCGTTCGTCTTTTCTTCACGTTTTCTTTTCAAGGTGTGAGATATTTTAATGGATGCTTTGGGCCAAGGACGAAAGTCATGGGAAATTGTTGGGATCTTTTTTGCACTTTTTCGTCCACTTCCACATATAATGTATTATTTTGGAGAATCGTTATATGAACAACTTTAGAATGTTGCACGGTACTCAATTATGGGTCGTGACCTGACTTTTTACTTGTTTATCAATAATTTCATTTTATTAGTCTCCATTCTCTCTCTTTCTCTTTCTCTTATAAATATTTAAATACGGGACGATTGTCCTGAAGAGGTTAAACTTTGCATTACAATACACATATATATGTGTAGCGATTATCTCCCTACTTGTCACCTCTGCCTATTTAAAACGAATAAAGCGTCCTTCTGTCCTACTTTATAAGAACGATGATAAACGACGCAAAAAGAACTAATAATTAGACAGATAGAATAACAGGCAGAGAAAGAGATTGAGAGAGAGAGAGAAAGAGAGAGAGAAGAGGGAATCGACAGATTAATTATTCTCTCGAGATCTTAGAAAATACACTTCGATACATTCTTGTCGAAACGTATAAATTTGTATTTCCCTCATAAGCAATTTAAATGCGTTTGAAATTTTCAAAAGACTGTTACGCGGGTAATTCAACGAAAATAAATTGAAAGTGCAAAAGTTTAAAATTAAATACAAAAAATAAATAAAGAATTGTTAAAACAATATTTGCAAAAAATTAAAATTGATTTCAATAATAATAACAATAATAATGCGTTTATTGCAAGAGGTAATTTATGAAAAATTGAAGAAAAAAAAAATTAAAAAAAAATAAATAAAATAAACGGAAATTAACTATTTCCAGCATAAAATCGATTTCATCGATCCTTCGGAATTGCTACGTCCCGAAACGTCGTTCGCTGACAAATGTCTTTCGAAATTTCGTGATTACACTATCGACGCCGCGGATCCTCTTAAAGAACGTGTCCGCCTCACCTATAGGCAGATGCATTTAAATCAAACGGTCGACTTTGTTAAGAATCGTCATAAAAAGTGGTTAAAATTTAATACTTTACGTGCGACGGTACGAGAGGCTTTAGAAAAATTGAATTATCTGGTAGATGAATCGGATCCCGATATTGATTTACCTAATATTGTACATGCTTTTCAAGCGGCCGAGCGGGCACGTGAGGAATTTCCCCAATTTGATTGGTTACACTTAACTGCTTTAGTTCACGATTTGGGCAAAATAATGGCATTCTACGACGAACCGCAATGGGCAGTTGTGGGCGATACGTTCCCAGTTGGTTGTGCTTGGTCTGATAGCATAGTTTATCGTAAGCATAGTTTTCAAGGTAATCCCGATGCCGAAAATCCACAATATAATGGTAAATACGGTATGTATTCGCCGCAGTGTGGCATTGATAATCTGTTAATGTCATGGGGTCACGACGAATATATGTATCAAGTGCTGAAACATAATAAAACGAAATTACCTGATATTGCCTGCAAAATAATACGCTTTCATTCTTTCTATCCCTGGCACACGGGTGGTGATTATCAGCATTTAGCAACGACCGAAGATGAGGAAACTAAAAAATGGGTATCAATATTCAAGTGAGTGAAACGAATCTCTTTTATACGTAAATAAAATCTATTATCTTGTCGATATATAAAGCGTTCCCACTACAAGCTAGTATTCCAAACTTTTTTCTCTCATATATTTTATTCAAGGAGTTACAATTTCTGTTTGTTGTTTTTAGAATGAGATTAAATTTGAAAATTTCATAAAAGAAGAAAAAAATTAATAAATAAAATGATATTCGGCCGTGACTGAATCTTTTATACCCATCACGGTTATGTTAGAAAAAAAAAAAAAACGCAAATACTAAATTTCTATAATCTATAATACTGAGTGGGCGTGGCTAAATTTTTCTATTTTTGTAGAACGAAAGTGGAAATTTATATCGTGTGTTTGTTGCAATTTGCGGACAAAAAACATTTTCCATCTATATCTACTCCCCATTCCAAATCCTTTTATTTGACACGCATATCGACACATCGGATATTGTAATCGTGATGTTCGCAAGCCGCGTTAAACGGTCCAAGATTTTTTTTTTTTTCCGATACTCAATCGATTGTAGGGCTAAGAAGAAAGCAAATCCTCCTTCAACATTATATTTTATTCACCTTATGAGTATTAAGCAAAAGACGTCGCAAAAGGAACAACAAAAATAAACCTTTAATCACTTATAAATTTGTCTGGGCGTGGCCGAATCTGCTCCATTTTTGTACATAAGTAGTGCGGTCCTCTACAAAGTAAATATCGAAAATTCTAACGTTCTATCTTTTGTAACATATGAGTAATGAGCAAAAACCCATAAATATTTGCTTACAACAACAGAGTTACGTTCAATTTACGCCATACTGTGGGCGTGTCATTTGACTAACTTCGAATATTTCAACCACATTTGAAACCAATCACATCAGTTTTGCGATTCAAAGAATGTTTACCACAAACAGACTGATGGGCGGAAGGACAGACATTCTTAAACCAGTTCAGTATTTGATACTGTTCAAGAGTATTTTAAGCTTCTTTGGTTTTGACAAATTGAATACATGTGCTCCTTATCCTCTGGTGACGAGTACAAAAAAAAAAGAAAATGTAAAAAAAATTATCCGTAATTTCTTTATCCCTTAACTTTATTATAAAACTTCGAATTTTTTTTTTTTTTTTCAGTCGTTACGATTTATACACCAAAAGTGAAAAAGTTCCCGATATTGATGCTCTTTGGACCTACTATCAAAATTTAATCGATAAATATCTACCAGGAGTGTTGGAGTTTTAAAAAGCATACTTTGGCTATTCTAATATTCCGGTTTGTGCTAAAAACATTGAGGTTATGCTATGTATAATAAATGAGGTTAGAATCCTTATTTTATATATGTATTAGTAAAATATAAAAAATGAAAATTGCCAAAACGTTTTATTAAAATACTTTAATTTATTTAAAAAAAAAAAAAAAAAATAAAATAAAATGAACAGAAAAAAAATTTTTTTTTTTACATAATTTATAAAAAACATGCTTACTAAAAAAAAATTTCTTCTCGCTCTGTTGTACTTAATTTCTAACACATTAATAACGTAATATCTAATCGTAACGGCTTCTTTTCACATCCTTATGGCTGTCGGAATTGCTGCAACTGTATTTAGAATTATTAGCTTTTTGAGACGAATGTTTACGCTTTTGATAGTGATGACTTGAGGAGCTGACGCGCGATTCTGATGAAGTACTGCTGTATGAACTGCTTCGATTCCGTTGACTTTTATGACGACTTACGCTGCGTTCGCGATGTCGATGATGCGGATGATTGTCACGATGTTGATGATGATAGCTACGCGATCTTGATCGCGTTCGTGACTTTGATCGGGAACGTGCATACTTTTTGGTTTTCTTTTTACTTTTTGTTGATTTTTTCGATTTCGATTTTTTTCCTTTATGTGATTTGCTGCTACGTTTCTTATGACTGCGCCTTTCATTCGAGCTTGCCGAACTCGCTGAAGCGGAACGCGAAACATTAGAATGAAGACGATAATGTTTTTTATAAGACTTCACGTTTGCCGACAAAACACGGGTTTCCCCCTCCCTAGTTTTGGATCGAGAACGTCTTTTAAAGTCCTTTCGACTTTTTGTATCACTTACTAATTGTACATCTTCATCATCAGATACCGTTATGGATAGTGATCGCAATGACATACTCTCTTGAGTCGAAGTCTTCGAGTTACTTGTTGCTGCGGCGATTTCTTTGTCTTGTATTGGTACTATAACTTTATGAGCTGCTGTTAGCATTTTCTGTTCTTCTTGTTCATCATCGTCCGTATTGCCTTCTGGTCCATATGAAGTAATCGGTATGGAATGTACTGAAGTTTCCGAATCGTCAGTAACATTGCCATCATCTTCGGGTTTTTCTAAATCCTCGTTATGTTCCAGGTTTTGTTCAGCTTCTTCGACCGAAGAAATGCCTACAAATAAATAAAATATATTTACATATGTTAACTATAGAAATTGAAACACCACCATTCACTATCGCACTTAATTGCTATGATACAAGTGATTTGCTATTCCAGCAACTAAAATGGAAATAGTTAAGACTTTTTACATCGTATCACGGCTGACGATGCATAGTGAATATGGCTACGATAATTGGAAAAAATAAAAAATCATATTCGTAACTCAGTCAAGCGAACTGTCTACGATCATAAAATCATGCTCTGTAACTGTTAATTCGTTCGTAAGAACGTAGCGTAATACGAGCTTATCAAATGCAACGAGCCCATCTCTGGGAACGTTACGAACATAAGCAAAGTACCATAACGCATTTTCAGCCGATAAGGCAGCTTATAAATAACAAGTAAAAACACGATCCTTCATTGATCATCAAATCATTTTGAATGATGTTCGTCCTTGAAGCGAAACACACCAGTAGATCTTAAAAATTTCCTCTTCCGTCGAATGAGTAAGAGTAAACAAGACGGACAAACAAGCTTAAAACGATTCAGTAATTAACTCTGAATTGATCGGTCTATTAAAACGAGGATCTATCGAAAGTCCTTCTGTTTGCCGCATACATCCACACGTGGCGTAGAATATAAAAATTGACGTAAAAAAAGCAAGCAATTATGGCTAACGCGTCACTTTCTACGAAAGTTACATTTACTTATATATATATCACTGACGTGGTGATAAGCAATCATAAAGTAAAATTTTTTCAAGTTCACGTTAGGCGTTTAAAATTACCTTTGATTTGATTTAGAAATGCCATCGCTTTACGTTTACGCTCTAATTGCAATTGTTTCTCTTTCGATATTAAACCACCGAGTTTCTCGCGAGCAATTTGTGCCAGTTTATCTTTTACTTTCTCTTCAGCTTTTGAAGAAAAAAAAAAAATATTAATAAAAAATCAATAGAAAAAATGTTCAAAAATATATCGCTGCCCGTCTTTTTCGTTCGTCTTTTCTCGCTAATTTTACCTTTCTTCATTTCTTTGTGCTTGTTTTGCTGCTGCTGCTCGTAGATAGCATTTCTTTCTGCTTCCGTTTTCGCCAAAGATATATGAGATTTTTCATTACGTATCGGTGCAATTGTTGAAGTACTTGTTGTAGTTGTTTTACTATAACTCGTTGCGAGTGCTGTCGAAAGACTCGACTTTGTCAATGCCAAAGCAGAAGGTTGACTAACTAGAGATGCTGTAACGACAGCGGCTAATTTAGCATTTCTAGCCATTAATTGCGATTCGACAAATTGTATAGCTTTCTGTACATGCTCGGGCACTTGACGATTCTGCTGTGCCGTCTTACCAAGGGCAGCAGAAGCAACATCTTCGTCGTCGCTATGATCTTGTGGTAAGACAGGTTGTTGCAATGTTCCCGCGCTAGTCTCATCTTTAGATTTAATTGAGAAGGACACCGGCGTTGCTAAATTACGGAATGAACGTAAACGAATCGATATAAATGAATGTTTATTTTTCTTTAAGTTGCCTGCTTACATGAATTTTTCTCTCCCGTCAGACCCTTTTTACTTAATAAAGCTGCCGCTACTGCAGCCGCTTTACGTTGTTTCTGCTCCTTGGACGCCGCGTTCGGATCACCGGTAATTTTATACAAATAATATGGATAATATTCATTATTCGGCAATAGAAATGTGAAACGTTCTTCACTTTTTGTTAAAAGAGTTTCTTCGAATTTACGACCATTCTTGACAACATACAAGGCAGTCTTGTCGATTATATTTTTCAAATTCTCTATTGGCACTGGGAATTCTAATTGGGGCTCAGGTGCTTCCTTTTTAGCCGACAATTCTTCCTCGGTTTCCGAATCCGAGCTGTAATTCTGAGCTAAGGCTAAAGCACTGGAATTTTTCAAAACTTCAACTTGTGGTTGCAGCAATTCAGCAGAAGTGGCTGAAGCTGCCTTATTTGTAACCGAATCTGAATTAGAATTCTCTTCATGTTCGGGCAGATACGTTGTCCCGTTGTATTGTAACAATACCGGAGTTGTGCAGGGCGAAGCAACGTTACTATGCTCCGTTTGAGAACCACAACTTTGTCGTGAGGTATCTTCGTGTAGTTCCGGCAATGGTACGCCTTTTATTTTACTAATTAATTGAGTGTAGACACAATCAACTGATGGCTTGTACTTAATTGTCGGTACGGTAATAATAGGTTTTGCAACTGTTACGACAGCGCCACTAATCTCCGACTCAGCGCTCTGATCATCTGCAATTGATTGCTGAGGGCTTGGCACGTTCGTCGCCTGCGCCTTAGGATATGTACCATTTTTAATAGCATTTACAACATGCTTATAGTACGCGTTTAACGAACTATTCTGAGCCAAGAATTCAAATTGCACATTATTAGATTGTTTAGCCTTCAGCAAGATCTCCATTTGCACACCCTGAGAAGCTATAAAGCGGGCGGTCTTCTCAATGATTGCATGTTGTTTCATAGTTTCCGGCTATATAAATGAGAAAGCAAGCAACAACTAAAGCTTGAAAAGGCTGAACATAAACTGAAAGCCTTGGTCTTGACCAAACCCTAATTTATTTACAGGAACTGCCTACTTTAGAGATATATATTCTTTCAATTCATCAATGAAATTTCATTCCAAAAGTTTAATTCTGCTCCAATATCTCATTATTTTCGTCAAGGTTAACTCTATGACACCGCTGTTTACTAGTACCTGAATCCCCTTTATCTCATCCATATGGAATATTTGCAGAGTTCAACACCTTGTTGAATGCCTTGGGGATAGTGTGAAGTGCTTTCTTAAAAATGAGTTTAGAATCTAAGTGAGTAAAGTATCTATATTGTTTATCAAATCCTAATTCGATTTAAAGGTATTCGCCTGTCCCTCTGTAAAATGTCTGTTGTAAACGTACTTCTGGCCGCAAAAATAAGGCTTTGAAGGTTCTTGCAAACAAGTTGGTATTGAAAATGGTTCAAATAGATTGCAGGACACGCCCACAGCACTACATAAAATCTAGCCGAGGCACTAAGCATCAACTACAGCGCAGTTTGGAATCATTTGAAAAGACCAGGCTAAAAAGAGGAGCTCGAAACTGGGGAACAAGACGGAAAAAGCTCCTCATATGACCCCCTATATGCTATAATAGGCACATGTTCTTCTTGCTACAACCAATCGCTTAGGGGATGTCCCCTATTCATGTAATATGGTGACAATCGGAAGAAAATAAGGAAAGAAAAATAGATAGGGAGATTGTGGCCGCAGGCTTAATGGCTCAATAGTAAATTCGAAGCCTTCATCGACTAAGTACTCACTATAACTACGACCGATGTAAACTCTATCGCATTGACATTTGAATCCGTGAGCGCAGACGTGGCAGTCATGACTCTTACCTACTCGGCTATTCATGGGAATCAATAGAAAAAAAGGTGTTTCTCTGACAAGCCTCCCAGAATGGGTTAAACACTAGCAACACATATCTTTCTCTTTTAATCATTAATTTCCACGTAAATAAATCGGATTTTGATAAAAGATTTCTCGCTTGGCTTTGTGATGTAAGAGTTCCACAACAAAACAAACACTTACCAATTGAATATGCGCTGGTACCTCAAAATTATGGGGTTTTTGAAAGACCTGCTGTTCGCTCTCCTCGTTTGTGGGCGACGGCATGTATTCTTCACGACTCTGACCGTGCGACGTGATCAGGGCCGATTCAGTTTGCATTGATTGACGATCGTAAGCGAAATCCACTTGACTGTAACCGGCACCGTTTGTTTCCTGTTGCAAACGTTTCAATTCCTCTTCTTTATATGTTCAATCAACAACAATGGAGGCCAAAATAAACCCAAAAAAAGTGTTAGAGAAAAACAACAAAAACAAAACCGGCATGAGTTTTACTCAATTAAAAGATAGAGCAAAAACAAACAAACAATTATTTCAAGAAGTTTTTAGAAATGTTCTTCCTTATTTTTTTTTTTCTCTCTTTTTTTTACAAAAATTTCATAAAACGAAAATTTTTTTCGTGTTTCAAATAAATAGAAAATATTTGAAATTAAAAAAAAAAAATATTAGATTTTAATAATAAAGTGGATTCAGCTCTCTTTTAGAAACGCAATTGTAATCTTTCTCTAACATCATATTAATGTCAATAGGTGGAAAAAAGACCGATTATCAGAAGGCTCTGCAAAGATATTCCGATTAGTTGTTAAGAAAATTTTTTTCATATTTACCTGCTTATGGACTGTGAGCTTAGTAACCGCGTATACGCCTTGAGAGAATATTCTTTAATTCAACAGCTGAATCAGTTCCACTCTCTGAAATTTTCTGTTTTAATATTACTTACGTGCTTTCAGACGATGAAGTTTTTTTTGCTTTTCTTTGTTTTTATTTTTTTTTTCATTTTTTGGTTTTTTGGTTTTTTTTTTTTCTTGTTTTTTCTTTCGTTTTTTGTTTAAGAAATTCATTTCTATAGCTAAATTATTTTTATAATATTTGTTTAAAAATTTTATTTGTTAAAAATTCACGTTCACGATATCATAGACGATATCTTGCATATAACAACAACAATGCGTAGTACAATACGAAAGTCGTGTCCGTCTGTGAGAACCAACTTACCTTGATTAGTTATGAAATCCAGTTCATCGTTGTACAAAAATAAGTAACGTTCCTCTTCGCATAACTGTTCGGCCCGCTGCTCTTCCGGTGTAAGATAATCGAGACGATTGCCATAACCTCCCGGCGGAGGTTCGTATGGTGTTAAATCGTAAAGAGCACCACGCACATCATACCTGACGCCATCGGAAACAAACGCGGTACAATTTTATCAAAAAGTTTTTTTTAATTTTTTTTTTTTTGTTTTTTTTTTTTTTTTAATTTTTTTTTTTTATGGAAAAAAAAAAATAATTTAAAATAAATTAAAATCTAACACAAAATAAGATTAAAAAAAAATAAACAAAACAAAAATATGAATATTAATTTTTTTGTTTTTACTTTTCAATTTTTTTTTTTAAATTAATATTATCATACATACCGTGATATACTAGGGCTAAGAAATTAATATATTTTTTTTAAAATTATAAACACACAAGTTTTTTCCAACCAGATTTAAAGGACAGTGTCTTTTTATATTGTTGTTGCAAATTAAATTTATTTATTGTATTTTAATTAATTTTTTATGTATATCGGAATAAAGTCCAAAAACCCCAGTTAATTCCAGTGCTATGGAATAATAAAACCCTAGGATTTGAAAACTAAAAGTAAAATTCTCTATTTTTTTTAGGTTATTTAAGTTTTTTTGCGAAAAGTTTTCTATACCATGTGAAACGTCAGCTCGTAAACATCTGAAGTCATGAATATCCCGATTTAAAATTAAAATTTCCAGCCAAGTTGCAGACGATCGCAGCTCATTGAAAAGCTCGGTGCCTATTCTTTAGAATAAAGAATTTACGGTACAAGGGTATAGTAAGTAAATTTGCGTAGATGTACGCAATCTGAGAGGGATCCGCTTTTTTAGTACACTGATTGATACGGGGCCACTTTTTGAATCGATCGAAAATTATCTGTCCGTCTGCCTGATTTGTTTTCTTGCGTTCAACGTATGTCTGGCAATTTTGAGCGATATTTTGACGAAATTTGATACAGCGATATGCTTTGGCCCGAGAAGAGACGCTATTGACAATGGTTCGGATTGCACCACTGGTTCGACCGCTTCCTATATAAGGCCTGATTTTGAAAAGTTTTTTTATAAATAATTGCATTAAGCGAAGTGGTGGAAAGCATTGAATGTTGCGCCATGTCCCTTTGAATGCCCAACATCACCTCGCCAAATACAGTTAGTCACCCATTCTCTTAATAATACATCAAAAATTATGCATTAGTTTTATGTAAATGCATAATTTTCATAAAAGTCCTTATATAGATTATTTTCCAGGTGCATTATTTTCCAGGTACTTGTGTCATAACAAACCAGAAATTAGGCTTGGTCGCCCTAGAAAGTGTTGCATTTATGTGAGCCCCTATATATGGTGCAATATAAAAAATAGATCTGAGATCCAAACACCCTGTGACTGATTTACTGAGGAAAAAATTTTCATCATAAAATATAGAAAATTATAAGTTTTTAGTATTTAGTATATACTGACTTTTCATTGAAGCCCTTGCATGGATTAGGATCGACAAAATTGGTCCACGTGGTCCAAATTCGGTAGAGAAAATTTTTTGTGTCAATTTAGTATTATGGACGATTTTTATCAAGAATTATTGGAAATTAGGTCTTTTTACGATATCAAGATTCAGCTTCCGCAAGAACAATTATGTGGCATGAACCGAAATACTTTTATTAAGCGATTCTTTTTGCGAAATTCTAAAAATTGCACTATTTTTTTTAAATAACGATTTATCAAAATAAGGCGTTGTATGGGAGAATGCCTGAAAATGCGATCCGATTCGAACAATATTCAATAATGTTCTTCCCTAGGTCTAAATACGCCAGTGTACCGAATGTTACTAACATATGACAAAAATTGCGATTGTACACAAAAATATATGAACAGACAGACGGATAGACAAGCTTAGGTCGATTCAGAAGATGTTTTTAAGCCGATAAATGTTATAAAACGAAGGTCAGAAGACAAGCTTAGGTCGATTCAGAAAATATTTTTAAGGCGATAGATGTTATAAAACAAAGGTCTCTCTCTTTCAATTTCTTCTGGGTTTCACAACAGTCCGTAAAAACTTAATATACCTTGTACCGCAAGTGGTGTAAGATATAACTTGTCTTCTAATTTCATGTCACTTATTCTAGTCAGCAATTGACCAGAAGATGATTTAAAAATCATAAATTTTATAGGTCGAAGGGAGTTTTAGTCACGATAATCCTTGAAAGGACTATTTTCATACGATTTGTTGAGAATGATAAAAAAAGCAGTGAGTAAATCTAAGAGAAGCCTTGGTACTTTGCAACATAAGAGTTAGGCAAAGGACCAAGAGCTAGCAAATATCTAAAGTACTAAGTGTTGCAAAAAAACTTCTAGCATTTGGCAAGACAAAAATTGCTAACCTTACAATTTTGTTATCAGCGCAGACTAGTCTTTCGTGTTCGTATGTTCTTTTTAAAAAGAAGAAGAAAACTAATTATAAACACTCACCTAATGAGAGCAGTAATAAACAATCTAGCTACGGAACTATGTTAACCAAGAGTTAAAACACCAAAATACCACAGTTATCATCACAGCATTGGGCCCTTTCCATTTTTCCTGTTCTTTCCCTTATCCACCATCTACTTGTAGTAGCAAGTATCAACTAAAATTGTATTCTCTATAACTATCACTAATGCAGTTATAACAAATGCGAGTAACTAACAGAATAGATGTATCAAAGATTCCCACCAACAACGTATAATACTGATCGGGATAAGATGTTGAAACGATTTGGATATCTTAGCTTGTCTCCTATCGGGAAAATTGTTTGAATGAAAATTTTTTATATGACATTGAGTTAAACTTGCATTTTGTTTAATTGTAATATACTTTGTGGACAAGTTGAGAATCGGCTAAATCGCTTTAAGGTGTGGCCTACAATTACTGAAAAATCAAATGTAAACAATACTATGTATATAAATGTAGTTTTTAATTTATATAATTACCAACGAGATGCTGAAAATTTATGTAAAAATATGATTCATAAATACCCTGTATTCGTGCAACTTATAATAGTATGTTAATGGAATCTCGCTTTATATTAAAATTGTAAATCGTATATCGTTTCGGAACAGCAAAACGATGACGGGTATGGAAGACACTTCATCCAAGAGCCAAATTTAACTAACATTGTCTGTTAGATTATATATTTTATGAAATTGGATTTAATTTCATTTTCCATTAGTTTGAAGCAGAATGCTATCAAATAAATGACTTATTATTTACGAGTTTAGGTAATCGGAGGTTCTCTGTGTACTCATAATAAATTAAGAAGATAAAATAATTATTTTTTCATTTTAACACCAATACGCCATCAAAAAATTTTTTTTTTATAAAATTTCAAAAATTTACTTCTTTCTGAGAAATTGCTTTCAAATTTTTCTGAAAATTTTCAACTTATTGCACCTATAAAAGCTTCGTTAAGGATTTTTTCGCCAGAATGCAAGACAAAGCAAAACTAAAGGCATATTGGGCTTTCATCTCCAAAAGAACTTTTACAGAGTCAAAATCACGCGAACAATGCCTTTAATATTTTCACATCTACATAATCGATAATTATCCAAAAAATTTATCTGCTTCTAAACTTTTCTTAAACTGTGAAAATTGAATTAAATGCACATTCAGATATGTTTTATGAATAGTTTTCTCTATATGCATATACGTGTACTATATAACAATTATTAACCTGTCAATTTTAAGATTATGATCGCCCATCCATGGTATTAAATGTTTCCCCTGATCGATATCCAATGCTTTGACATCGTCACGAAATACTTTACAAGCATAACCAAAAACCAATAAATCGACTTGACGCGACTCATTTTGATTTACATTAATATTAATGGTTGTTGCTGTTGTTGTTGTTGCTGAGGAAACGATGGAGGAAGTATTACCGGCGGTCGGGCCAGACACTTTACGTAAAATACCACTAATCCCACCGCTACCATTTCCTCCCGTTATATTATTACTGGTAAAATCATCGCGTATATTATTAGCGTTTCGCGTGTTAAAAGACATTATTTTATTAAATAGCACTTGTTCAATAATTTATTTAAAATAAGTATCAATCTTTTTCCTTAAATTATCTATAAATTATTGTAGACTTTATCAAAATAAATTTTTGCCATTAGTTTCATGTAAAAAATTGTCTGTTTTCTTTAAGCAGATGACCAAACAACAGTGATGCCACTATTCGTTTAGTACAGTTTTTTTGATGGACGTTTGCAAGATGAACTATAAAATTATAACATCTCTGATTTTCTATTTATTGTTAACAAACTTTTTACCTATTACTATGTTCTTTATTTGCTAAACGCTCAGAATCAATGCATTCTCGATCAGCATAAATACGGGAGACAATGTTTCATGTACAACTGTACGTTTCTTACTACAGCATATTTATTGAAAACGTATATTATTCTGTCAAATCATTCTAAACGTGTGTTTTCTTTTCTATATAACTTTTCCTTATTGACATCGCATTTAGATGTTAAATTTGGAATCGATGCTTAACCTGTGAATGCTACGTGAACTGCATTTACTAATTAGATATACTATTAGTATAAAATTTATATATATTTCGAAATCTTAAAAATAGCGATGAAATCTTCAAGTTCAGCGTACTAGGATATGGCTATGCTTCAGTTCGGTACTTGTCTTAACATTGGTAGAATATCAAAGTAATATTTTTTATCACATAAATAACGTGATTAGTAGGTCATAGCAAAAAGTATTGAATAAGGGCTCGACACAATGAGGAGGCATCTTCGTTTTCGGGTTAAAAACTCCCAAGTGATAAATAAAATGATCAGCAGCGCTACCATATTGTTTTACAAGAGAATATAAATAAAAATAAGGAAATCAACGTAAACGTAAACAACATATTTGTAAAAAATAACAATAAAAAGATTGGTATAAAAGTAATATTAGCCGGATCTTGACAGTACAGTACCAAGAACGGTGATTTATGGATTGACAGCGGAACAGAGCCTCTCATTGCGAACACTCTGCCACATCAGTCTACCTATGCTTAAATTTTTTCATCAATCGCTTTCAACTTCGTTTCTGGATTATAGATCTAACATTAACTTAACTGGTCCAATCCATTTCTAAACAAACAAAAAAAAAAGAAAGGTATAAAAGTAAACAAGCTTGTTCAGTTATTATTAGATCATGATAAAGAAGATTGATTAGGTATATGTAGATATATTTTTGTGTATTAATTAATTCATAATTTGGAAACCATCATTTATCACTCTCTAAAAAGCAATTTGGCATGTATATATTTCAACTAAAATAAATGGCCTTTCTGCTTGTTTTTAATATCTTATAAAATATGAGTATAAGCACACATTACAATTCACACAAAATGTAAATTAGATAAATGATTTACAAATATAAAATAAATTGCCTTTATTTCTTCTCGTGCTTTTATTTTGTTTTTTGCTTTATCGAAACCATATGATTTGTCAATTCCCATAAAGTTTTGTAAAAAGTCGGCAAAGCTGCAGTGTCAAACAGAAAATAGGAATAATGCCTATTATGTCGACCCCTAATAGTTTTGATTTTTAATTTTGAATGTGTATATATTTAACAACTCTGCTTCACATTTATAAAAAATATTAGTATATGTCAAAAAACGGAAGTTTCATCACAATGTCAAACACAGTAAACAGTTCTTTTACTTACAAAGTTTATAAGTGAAAGTTGTGTTTTTTTCTTTCTAAGTTGAAAAGTGCTTTACACGTTTCGTGTCGATTATTAAGGCTTAAAAGTATGTAAAGATATCTAAAAAATGGCAAGATATTCTTTTTCAGTAATGATGGAGAAAGATAACTATATAAATTTAAAAGCAATATAGTTAAGATGGTAAAGATATTAATGGGTTGAAAAATTCTTTTATTTACTGTATAAAATAGCATGCGTTACGTGGCTGCATATATGTTAGCTGTTCTTGGCGGTTTGGAGAATCCAAAAAATGCCGACATCGAGAAAATTTTAAGTTCGGTGGGTATTGAAGCTGATAGCAAACGGTTGTCGGCAGTGGTGGCTGAATTAAATGGCAAAAACATTGAGGAATTAATAAAAAGTGGACGTGAGAAGCTCTCATCAATGCCGGTAGGTGGTGGCGTAGCAGCAGTTGCCGCAGCTCCAGCGGCTGGTGGCGATAGTGCAGCCGGCGCTAAAAAGGAGGAACCGAAGAAGGAAGAAAAAGAAGAGTCTGAATCAGATGAAGATATGGGCTTCGCTTTATTCGATTAAGAGATGACAGCGAGAGTGAAATTCAACAATTAACGTAGAGAAAACTTGTTAAGGTAATTGGTAAAATGAAAACAAAAATAATTGCAGACATAATTTAAATCAGGCAGCAAATAGTTTTTTTTTTTTGGATAGATATCTATCTGCCAATTCTCTAAACTGTATTTGTTATTTAGATGTTGTATAGAGAATTTAAATTTGAACTTTTTTCGCTGCTTGCTTCCAAATTTGTATGTATTGAGTCAACTAGTTCATGATGATTAAACTTTACACCATCTTTCGACTGTTGTATTATTGATGAATTATAAGTTTTACTCTGACTATTTAAATAAAATCCAATCGCTTTTTTCGCTTATCAGTCTAAGCTGTTTAAGTATATCAGTTAATAATTTCTCTTTCAGCTTCCACAACCGGGTTCCCCTTCATCATCATCATCTTGTATTTAATCAATCAGCAAATCCAGAAGTTACCTTTCCCGAGGTCTTGCGTTAAAATTTAATTCATTTTATAGAATGTATTTAAAATATATAAGAGAAAAATTTTATTTCTATGAAATAAGATGAAAACAAGGAAACAAGTTTTTTGTACGTTAAAAAGAATTCTTTTTATTTACATATATGCATATATAATGAGGAGTTGGGAAGATTTTCAAAAATCATTTCTTCTCTTCTTCAATATCTTCCGGTAAATAATCTTCGGCCTCGTACAGTTTCCTTAGCTTCTCCGGCATTACTGAAAGTGCGTAATCATCCATTTGGTCGCTAGAGAAATCAATGCATTGATCTGCGTAACGATATTTCTTGCGTTCAGGAGTGTTTTTTGCATTTCGTCGTTTAGCCAGGAACTCTTCAAATTTTTCTGAATCCACTGTTGTGGTAAGCAATTTCTTTTTGCGGCTATCTTCAGATATAGAAGCGTTTTGCTCGCATTTTCCTATCCCGGCGTGCTGCTGATGCAACTCCCAGGCGTATTTCGATTTACGCATTTTTGTCAATATTTTCATCATAATGTTTTTGTGATCCAGGCCAAAGACGTCATGACGCATTGTTGGTACATTTGGATTACACGAGTGTAGAAGTGTCTCTTCAGTTGCATCTTCTTTGGCGGAATCTTCCCTATTTACTTCATTTTCCCTTTTTATGCAATAAAAATTCTCTTCCCAACTTTGCTTTATTATACTTTTGTGTTCTTGTACTTGTTCGTCATCATCTTTGTCAAAATCTATGGTTTTAAGTATAGCTTCTACTTCAAACATATTGTTGCAAAGTTTATCTTTAACAAATTTAATACGTGGCACCACACCCATTAGATCAAGCTGTGACAGTTGATGTCTTAGTATGCCGCTACATTGTTTTAGTTCCATTTCCAATGTAGCATCGCGTATCATATCGCCAGTGGTTATCCAGTAGACACTAATAAAACCAAAATCAGGCGATATTTTCACTCTGGAGATTTGCAAACTTTTGCCTAATACAGTTTCGGAAACCTCTCCAGTAGCCATTAGATCAGTTATATGCTCCATAAAAAGTTTATTCAATACCGCCATACGCCTGATATTAATCTTACTACCTGTATGCGATTTTCCAAATTGTGTATTCTTGAATATAGAGTCTATCGATTCAGCAGTAGAAGGAAACCATCTTTTTTTACTGCCTGGCACACGATTACCGTAAAGTTTGCCCATAATTTTTCCTTGCTTCAAGGCAGTTACATTTTTTGTGTACACAAGACAATTCTCACGGTGGAACAATCGTTTTCCAAATAACTTATTAAAATTAATTAAGATTCTGGGATTTCGTAACATCTTCTCTTTTGCATATATATATATATGTATATATACTATTTAAAATATATTATTGCAAATTGACTTCCCACCCTGAAATGTAAATAAAAAGAATTTACTGTAAACAATACAGCCAGTTGTTTAATTTGATTCAACAGATGTTGCTGACTAGTGTTGATAAGTGGTATTTAGCTATCTATAAGGAATGGATGATTGGATATGTATGAGAAAACAAGAAAATTTAGTTTTTCCGAAAAATAGATTCCAGTTCGCATAAATTGGTCGTAAAACAATTCTTCTCCTTTACCAAATCCTTCAGGCGCATAACAACACTGTCATTAATCGCAAATCACCCTTTGACAACGATTCTAAGTTCGATTTACGATTCTAGTTATCGAACTATCGTAAAAAACGAAAAAACAAAATGATACGATCTCATTATGGGTTCATAACATTCGATAACAACGGAATATTTATGATATTATCGACGTGCACATAGGAGAAAAATATGCAAAGAAAACAAGGTAAAGTAAGTAAATAAACAAACCAAAATATAAAATTTAGAAAAGAAATTGGTGACAGAATTAGAAATCATATAAAGCAAAGCTTAATAAATTGATTAAATTGGGAAATCTTTTTTTCTTAATACCTAACTTTCTATGGATTAGTTCTACATCTAAGTAGTATCTCTCTTTGTCCATTTGGTGTTTTTCCTATCTGTTTTATGTATTTCTTCTGATATTTGCAACGACCGTTCCTCGATGGTCAGAATTTGCTTTATTATTGCCATTTCAAATTTGTAGATCTCGTCCGGTTTTTGAACTGAATTGCCTGACTAAATATTGGCGAAGCAGGCACTAAAGATTCCATTTCCAAGGTACTTACTTAGTTTTCAGTAATCCTATATTTCCACTTTATCGCTCATATATATTCGTTATTTGTTAGTTCCATATTCATTTATCTGTTTGCAAATTTTATGACATTAGCAGGTGAAAGCATTGAATATAATTAGATTTTATTAACTTCCTTACATTTTAGAGTTTCTGAAATTTTCATGTCCATTAATTTTGGAAAATAGGTGATGACAATATTTTACTTTAATTTTCCTTTAGAATATGACATCGTGCAGACATTTATACGCTATCGAGAAGTATCAACGAATGTTCGTTAACGAGCACCATCAACCCAAAAAGCAAATTTGATATCGAGTTAGTTCGATCGTCCCCTGGTATTCTTCAACGTCTCACGTTACTTTTCCAAACTAATGTAATATAGAATGACGAGAATTTAATTAATTTAAACACTAGTTTTTTAAAGATTGCATTGAATCGTAATGAATTTAAATATCTAGTAATTAATACTACGGCTGCGCAAAAGAAACTTTCAAAAAAGTAAAATTTTAAGTTAAATATGTATGTAGTATTAGAAATGAAGAATTATTAATACAAAAAGAATCAAGTAATTTATTTTCATTTTCTTCGCGATTGTTTAACAAGTCATGCTGTATGCGAACACAGGGTTTTATTTTTGGATCCTAGTAAAGTTTACGATTAATTTAGATTGTTGAAAATAGCGCTACTTTATAAAATGTAATCTCTATATGAAAAATTTTTCCTCTTTTCAGCACTAACTTCTATGCCATTCATATTACTCTCGCGCGTTCGTGGCTAATCGCATTAATTTATTGATCATTGATCTCTTTTATAAAAATTATTCTTGAACGAATAAAAACTATAATGTGATAATGCAAATAAAATCTTATTAAATTTGTACTTTTTTTCTCAGTGTCGCAAAAGTAAGAAAGCGCCTTTAAATTGCGTAGGTTTCACAAGAAAGCGATCAGAGTCTCTCATTGTCCCTTTTTCTATTATTTTCTCTTATATAAAGTCTATAGCATGTACGTCATTTCAGATGGAAAATATGATGCAACATAATCTAATTACTATAGTAATCGTTGGATATGTGACGCATTTGTTGTATGTAGCGATAGTAATACGTAATATAAGTTAGAACAAGTATTTTACGTATTTCTCATCTAAAATCTATAGTGTATCGTAGTCAGACAGAATGGTGGATGGGGCAATCCTACTCAATATCAGTGCGAGTTCAATTCAGATATGATTAATTTAGTTAAGTTCGGACTTCCGGTTTCAAATAGAAGAAGAAGTGAATTTAAGATTTCCGTTTTGTCTCTTTTGTGCGAAGCATTAAACGAGACAGAGGTGTTAAAGTCAAGTCGGAAGATGTGGTATGGGATCCCGTCACATATAGGTAAGTCTTTTAATGTGTGTCCACTGATAAACGAGTGATAGTAAGGGATAAGCCCAATTACGTAGCCCTAAATATAATTTAGCAGGTTGCGTGTATTTGATCTAGTTTTTCTTTTACTACCTATCCACTACTGGATATAGATGATGAAATTTTTGTGCATAATATTATCGCCTAAGTTAACCTATTACCTATGCTCATTGCTAATTTCGCCGATTGTTCTTAGCATGGTTCAATTTCGAATACTACGCAGCTATGACATTTGTTTTCTGTCCAAACGTTTGTGCTGTGGGATACGGCCTTCCATTATTAAGTGTAGGAGTTCATATTTTTCTCCACGTAGCCTGTGTCCAAAATACACAGTTTTTTGTTTTTTAATATACCTTAGCAGTTCACGCTCAGAATTTATTCTGCTCAGGACTTCAACATTGGATATGCGATCTGCCCACGCTATTTTTAGAATTCCGCAGTAATAACACACCTTAAAGGGTTCCAGTCTGTTCCCTATACTGGTTTTTAATATCCATGATTGTAGACCTTACAAGAGCACAGACCATAGCCAGCATTTCACGAGACGAGCGCGAAGGAATAAGCTTATTTCCCAACTTGCTAGAATTTTCTGATATTTCGTGTGCGCTGATCTAGCCATTTCTATTCTTCTTTTTATTTCCACGTCGTTGTCCCAGTCTTCGTGTAATATGGATTCATGGTATACAAACTTGAAAACCCTTTCCTATTTTTGGTTATTAATTGATAGAGTGGCATTTGCATATGGGATTTTCGCTCGATTTACGATCATAAATTTGTCTTCGCTGATATCTAGGTTTAACACAAAGTGGTAACCTTGATCATCTACAGCTTGAACCATCGTCTGCAGATCCTACATAGTATCTGTTATGATGGTTGTACCGTCCACATACCAGATGTTATTAATGAATTGGTTGTTGACATTAATAAGTGTTTCGATCTTCGGTTTGATTAGCTTAATGAGAGACTACCTTAGAGTAGATGTTAAAAAGAAGAAGAGACAAAATGCGCTCTCGGCGAACCGCTTAGTAGATGATGAATCAATTATTCTAGCCATTTACATGCAATGGGAACGATTCAAAAAGGGGAACAATGGCTACCATATCAAAAAGAAGAGTTTTCTGTAATGTATTCTGAGTGGCGTTAAAGAGTGGATCAATTACGATAATCCCGGGCGCAAAAAAGTCACATCCGCACGGACACGGGGCATTCATGTCCATAAGGTTAAGCTGTCCATATGGTGGGGTCGACAAAGTGTAGCATATTACAGGCGGTTAAAATCGAATGAAACTGTTAATGCAGTTTGTCTACCAATGTCAATTGGACAAACTGAACGATGTATTGTTGCAAAAATGTCTGGCATGACAATGCTCAGCCCCACCTTACAAGAGTTGCCAAGTATACACAGTTACGTTTCGAATAGGAAATTCCGTCGCACCCATCGCGCTCATCAGACACAGCGGCTTCCGATTACCGCTCAATCAGATCGATACAGCATTGCCTGCGTTGGCTGGCACGCGTTTTCGAAATGCACAGTAGTGCGAAAATGGATTGACAATCGGATCGCTACCAAACCAATATCGTTCTTTCGTCAAAGTATCCCAACGTTACCAGAAAGATGGGAAACATTATGATTTATATATATTGTACTTAATTGTCCCAATAAATACCTATTTCAGGTAAAAAAATAATCAAAATAAATACAAGCACCTATAACCTAATCATATAATATATACATTAATAAAACAGTAAAAATCATCGCCTGAACATAATGTGGCCATTCGCTTAGTAATAAATTGCAGAATAAATAGGTAAAGCAATTTATTGCGTGAATCCTAAACTAAAAGGTGTTGTCATTGCCCAGATCTATATATAAAAACGAACTGTTCCGTACGAATCGGATAATGGTAAATCAAAATTTTCAACAGGGTCCCAAAATCAAAGCAATATTCCGCAATCGCTTCTTACAACGGTTAAAACATGATGCTTTAATTGCCCTTAAAAACTAGTGTTTAATCAGATTTCAAATATCACAATGATTTTTTTCTAAATTTTTGAGCGGCACTGAAATATTTAGCGTCCGCGAAAGAGTCGAAAAAAAATATGATGATAATCCTTCATTAAATATTATATTAAGTACTTGCAAAAATGTTGATCATTTTTTCACATGAAAAAGGCATTTATTGAGAAAAATTGGTACAATGAATATTAATCGAAATATTTTCCATAATATCCGACAACATGGCGATATAGTATTGAAAGAACTTATGTCGGTTTGGCAGCGAACCATCGAACCGTTTTCGAACTTCTTCAACTTTGCGGATCCGCGTGCTAACCAAGGCATGCTGCACCGATCCGAACAAGTAGTAATCAGAAGATGCCATATCTGGCGAGTACGCTGGGTGTGGCAGAACTTCCCCTTCGAGGTGCAAGAGTGTATCCTGAACAGCTCTCGCAACAAGTCACCAAAAAATGGCATTTTCACTCAATTCGTGTCGTAAATTTTAAACCGTTAAGACCAAAATCGACAATTGGGATATGACGGAGCAGAATAACTCTCTGAACATGTTTGTCGGCCTTCCGTGACACATTTCTTCACATAAGCAACAATAGTAATCAATTTGGAAGAAGAAGAATTGTGAGTGTTCCATGACTAGCGTCTGCGTAAGCTGAATAGATCAATAATATTAAATGAATGTGATTTTAGGTAGAGGAAGGTCGAAGCCGTCGAATTCAAGCGCGGTGTACCCTAGTATTTCCTGTTTCTTTATAATTTTTGCCTGAAGAAATTGATTGGTCCCCTTTAC